AAAGAGTGGCAGTATATACAAAATTAACACCTTGACTTTGAATGCCTATATCTCCTTCTTAAAAACTTCAAATGACTCAAAATTTGTACCAAAACCATAGCCAAAAACTTGAACTTACTGATCTTAGCCTTTAATGTTTGAATTCCCCCTAAAAGTCTAATCCTAATTACTAATATGGCCTCAGGCAGCCTCTTTGAAGTCCATTGGTCATGATATTTGACCAATAGGAACGGAGATTTATATCATCCATCTCCATTCATTCATATGGATATCCTAACTATTTTTTTTGCTACCAAAACTCCTCTTCAATCCCTTTTCATATGAGATTTATATATTATATGCCTTAAACATCAAATTAAAGAACCAAAATAAAACTTTAAGGATCGCCAATGTCTAACAAAGGTGACTCTAAATGTATAAAGTTACTACTAATAAAACCAACTTCAAAAGTCACTATCAAAAGAAAATAAAGTTATACAAATTCTAATAGTAATCCTTTTAAACAACCTCCTTTTAAAGTAGTAATTTAACCACACTTTACAACCGACTAAAATCCAATAACATGGCTCTCACTGTATTGCTAAATAAATTATACATTAAATATATAAACACATTATTTTCACATGGTAGCCAAACCACAACACAACAATGGAGTATTATAGAAGATGTAATAATGAGCAACTACTTCAAGAGATTTTTTGGGCTATGGAAGAAAACCAAAATTAATGTAAGAAAAAAGGATAAACAAAACAAATAAGAACATTTATATGTCAATATTTTAGATCTTTGAAAAATAAACTAGAAAAAAATTTGAAAAAATATATTATGAAGGAAGTCAATTAGAAGATAAGAGAATAAACAAAAGACAAACTTAGTTGAAATAACAAGAGAGATCAAACAAAGAAAACCTAAGGATAATAGAGAATAAACATCAAAAAAAATAGAGCAAAGAAAAATCTAGTTATAGAAAAGTAAGGAAGCCTATGTCTATAACTTCATCAAATAAGAACAATCTTGACCAAGGAATAAGAAGAGATGGAGTAAGTAGTATTTAGATGAAAGCTGCAAAAAAAAAAAAAAAAAAAAAAAAAAAAATAGAAATATAAAAAAATACATTAAAAAAAACCATGACAATTATTGGTTGAATACCAAAAAAAGATTAGAATTGAAAAGAAGTGGGGGCAAAAAATAAAACTCGTAATCATGTCAATAAAATATTAACAAGATTGAAAATAAATCAAAGATGATCATGTTTGAAGAACAAAATGGGATTCAGAGCCTTCTATAATTATTCTCAATTCAAACCTTATTTTGAAGTAGTTATAAATTTTGTAATTGGATTCATATTCAAGACAAATAAGTAGTCAAATCTAGATACATCAATCTAGATAGTGATACAAAGTATCCGGGTTAAAATTTCTATGATGATAATTTCATAACTTGGAAATTGAAGGCTCTCAAATCTCAGTAGAATTTTAGCCCAATAAACAACTAAATTCTAAATATTCAAAAAAATTTGGAATAATACTAAGCCATTACACCAACAATAGTACTAATATGAAGGGATTCTTTAAGTTATATTAGCATTGAGTAAAAGCATTAGTAGAAGTCATGTTTGTGAAGAAGTCATACCATGCTACTAGTGAATTATTACATAATATATATGTGGCAAAAAAAAAAGGAGAGTACAATTGGACACTTCTTATATTATCTAGCCTTAAAAAAATGTTGATTAGGATATATATCAGCAACAAGAAGGAGATTAAAGGAGCAAAATTAATTAATGTTTTATTGAAGCAATGGTTTCTTGACAAATATATATATATATATATATATATATATATATCTTACATAAAAATCATACTATAGTAAGGAAAAAATAAGTGAAGAAGAAAAAGGTAATTCAATACAATTGAGTATAACCTCTATGCTAGCAATAGGAGTCTTATTACTTGAAAGAATTATTAGAGATGGAAACAAAAAACAACATTAGAACTTATTCACCAAGGAGAAATATGAAATAACAATAGAAAAAAAATAGTCTTTTAAATTGAAAAAATTAAATATCACATCAAATAAGAATAAGATAAAAATATATTTTTAATAAGAAATTTTAATGAAAAAAGTTGAATTCTTAAAATAATTTTATTTAAAAGCTATTTAACCTTAGTACATGAAATTCAGCACAAATTTTTAGAGCTTCCAAGAATAAGATCACAATTGAAACAAAAAAAAAAAATAACTTCTAAACAAAAGAAGTAGAAAACTAATAAAAACAAGCAATAATAGATATTACACATTGCATAAGTGATTTATTTTTGTACAACTATTATACATATACGTCAGCCTATTATTGCCTTGAATAGAATATCTTATATTTAACCTTTAATCTTAGAAAACTCATCATCTATGAGCTTCATCAACTTTAAATTGGCCTCCAAAGGTATTCTAATGGACTTACACTCTTCTATATTGAATCATTTCAACACCTCTTCAATATACTTGTTTTGGTTTATTATAATGGTCTTGTTAGCACAATCTCTCATAATTTTTGTTCTCAAATAATAGTGAAGCTTTGCCAAATCATTCATTTCATACTCCTTTTTTAACTTTTCTTTCAATTTATCCATCATCTTCAAGATATTGATTAAGATGATCATATCATCAATATAGAGGATTACAATCAATAAGAATTCATTTGATTGCATCACATACATAAAATGATTAGTCTCGCTCCTTACAAATTCTTCATTCACAAAAAATGTGACAATGCATTGGTACCATGCCTTTTGTATTTGTTTGAGCCCATATAAGGATTTCTTCAACTTACAAATAAAATGTTGTTTGCTTTTTTTAACAAATCCTTAAGATTGATTCTTGTAAATATCTTCTTGCAACTTTCCATTCAAAATAGTTATCTTTACATCCATTTGACGCAAAAATATTCTAAATTTTTCTCTCTAACCTACTTCTCTAATCAACAAAAGAACCTTGGATTTGCCATAGGTGTACGATTTTGTACCTTAAGGTCTAATTTTAATCTTGATGCACAATTGATCCTCTTTAGATATTAATTTCTAGTTTTTTAAGATAATTTTTTATACAAAATATCCTTAACTATCTTTGTAAAATGCTCATATTATTTATTTTTCTAATCTACTTTGTTTTGTCTTATTTATGACCATACAAAGTAAATAGAAGCCTTTTTTACAAAAGAAATATGATTAATACCAAATATTTTTATTACTCTTTTATTTTTTTTATATTTTATTACTATAGTTTTTAATTAGGTTTTTCTATAATGGTATCTATATTTTTTTATCATATAGTTGTGTTATAACATAATAATAGTTTGATATAAAAATAAATCAAATCAAAAAATTAAGAATTAAATAGAATAAAACATTATATCATTGATTGCAAGAAATATTATAAAATAAAAAATTTATTCTATAGAATAAAATAAAAACACACATCTATAATTAAAGTATAATTTAAAATAAAAAATTATACAAAATAATATTTAATAGAATCTAATCCAACAAACAATGACAACATGATGAAAACTAAAATAAGGATCCTCAAAATTACTTTTATTGTTGTAGTTGCTCTTTCTTCTTTAAATAAAAGAAAAATCATAAAGCTTTACTAAATGGCTAATCACTAGAGCCAAGCAAAATCTATACAACAAGCTTTTTCTCTCTCAAAAATCACTTATAAGTCTTCACTTGACAAGAATGTCAAGTTAAAGGATTTTTCTACTTAAGTAGTCAAATCCTAATTGATGTTAATAAAGTCAACTAACAAAAATAAAAACTAAATAAATGGAAAAACCACTAAATCAAACTAAATCACATACATCTAATAGAATTTGGCACCCAATGCCACATCACATAACAAAGAAAACCTTTGACAAGTCCACTCAAAATTGAGAATAAGGCTAATGTAGAAGTCTATTAAAATATATCTATTTTAAAAAATAAAACAGTCTTTTTAATGTAACAATCTAGATCTAGTCATTTTTTGCACATTTTAATGAAAAAAAAAATCTTGTCTACTTAATTGAAAATTGGATTTCCATTCCAATCTTTCTAAATTTCTTGATGAGCAAACAACTCCTTGGCACCAAAATTGCAGTAAAGTGTTGTCTTATTGACACTTTTGACTAAAATGTCCATTGGTTGCCTACCTTGTGAAGACCAAATAATCAATTTTTTTTTTCTCTTTACTAATATTGCTGGAATCCTTTGTTTGCTCAATGATCGACCATAAAATGAAGTAGCCTTGAGTGAACTTCCTGAGTGTGGACTTGGGATGGAGACTAGATTCGTAAGCTCCTCCTCAAAGAACAGAAAGGAACTCTAACCTACTCCCAGCAATTTTAGGGCTGCCCTCATTTAGTGCTGTTCCAATCTGGGTGATAACAGTTCTGCAACTCGCTCCTCATCCATCCATTTCCCCTTTAAATCATCCTCATTCGTTCACATTGCCCGCCACGACCCTTGGGCATTGATGCTTCCATGCACAGCAACGAAAGCATGGCGTCATTTGTCCTTCAGGGCCGAGGAATCACGCCGTATTTCCAGGCTGAGCTGACGTCAGTCTACCGTCTACTGGTATTGCCGTCTACCACAGTTTTACAGTTACATTTATTTACTTCTTTGTTGATTCCCCTAACATGTGAAGCTCTTGGGACGCTTCAGCCGATTCCATTCATGATACCGTGCCTTCTTGGCATATGTGTCGGGGGCTCTGTGTTTTATTCCATTTTAATGTGCTCAGTAACAGGATATCTATACTCTTTTGCAGGTGCATCAATAACAGGTCCGTAAATCAATGCATACATTGTATTCAGAATAGCAAGGAATAGTCCTGATCACTTATCTCTGAAACATCTTAAGTCTGAAGTGATCAAAATTCAAGCCTGTGATGATTTTATCGTAACATGGCGCCGAACCGAACCAAGCAACAGACGGTGCAATGTAAAATATACAGGAACGTCGTAGAAATGAGCATTACTATTTACAAATAGCGGAAACACGTACCGTTCTGCACTGCTATCTCTGGCACACCCATTGCTTCCTCGTTCCCTAATTTCTAATTCCCAATTCCCCTCTTCCCTGGGCTCCTCTAAGCTGTCTTGTATATAACAGATACACTTAATCCATCATGGTTGACCCACTCCAGAAGCATCCCAGGAGTCCATTGAGTCGGCTGCGTTGCACTTGACGCATCCAAATTGTTTTAGGAGGTTCCTTTGCTGCGCAAGCTGCTCGGATACGGTCGACTGTAGCTTTGCGAGGAGGGGGAGCAGCAGCTGCCGCACGAATGGCGATCTTGAGGACCCTTGTTCTGGTTCTCTTCCTGTTGTCGCTGTTTGGTGGTATCGGTGGTGGTAAGTATTTAACCGAAGTTGCTCCGGATAAAAGCAAGGCTTTCGCGTGCTCTGTCCGTGGTAATGCCAAAACAAATGGCTGCAAGGCAGATAGGTACGACCTGGCTTGCAAGAACGATTGTCAGAGACCTAATACCATGAAGTGAATATTAACAATTAAGATGCTCAATAATCAAGTATAAATTACACCAAACATATACAACATGTATTATATGTCTCAAATTTTTGAAATTATATATTTGTTATAAATAAGATGTCATTGACCTCTTTAAAAGCTAAGTATAACAGTTTTCAATAAATTGTAGAACAAATCCAATAGATGATGCGTTGTTATGTAAACTTAATGAGGAAGTCAAATCCACAATTTGTTGGTGGAACTAGGTCAACTTTACTTCAATAGAGTCAATTTAGATTGACAGATATTAATATTCTACAATTTCATGTAATTATGCCTTCTAAAATCTCTAATGTCAATCCTAATTACTAGCATCTAATTCTTGCTTCTAAGACCTGTAATTTTAATCCCAATCAGAAACCTACAAAATTGCACTAGCAGCTTATAATATCCTGATTACATAAATATATAGTTTAGTTGCATAATTTCAACATGATTGTATGTTCACTTTTTGTCTTCTGATATTTTTTTCACATTCTACTTGTACGATTTTATTTTTCTATATATGTTATCGATCCTAATCCTATCCATTGGTCAGAAAGGCTGCAAGACTCAGGCTTGTAGGCAAACCTACCCAGTTGAGCATATTCGACTACCACTCTAGAAAACATTTTACAAATTATTTTCTCAATATTACAATCTTCATGGATGATAGAAATACGCCACAGCAAAAGCTTGGATACCTCTTGCAGGAGCGATTCTATACACGCTAGTTTTACAACACGAGGACTTTCTTTCAAAAAGGTGGAGATTTAGATCGTCATTAGTGCAGTTACTCCATAAACCACAGCATGAAAACTGCCCGTCTCTGCTTCTCGTCAAGACCATCACAACATCCAGCAAAGCTATCAACCACAACTCAGACGCCCTCAATCACCTACAATCTTGACCAATTAGAAACCTAAACAAGAAGCCCCATGAAGGCCCGAGTGCATTAACTTCTCCATAGCCCAGTACCTGATCCTCCCTGCAAACTCTCACCGACACGTGCACTTCAGTGTAGCTGCTCTTCATGACCAGCATCCTGGTGGAGTTGTTGTCATCTTAGACCACGTCGAGGACTTCAAGATGGAATGCTCCAACACATGCACTTACGCTTCTATCAGCTCGACCCACGAGATCCTCAGCCGACCACCACTCCGATCCTAGCTTGTGTATACAACAGCCTCTGTTGTAAAAGCGATGCGCCGAGCAAGGAAACCTCCACCAGTGACTGCTGACACGAATCCCAGCCACATGCCAGCACCAACTGCTCGCAGAAAAGAAAACTACTTTGGCGAGGGCGAGCAAATAAACCCTGGACAACCCGTGCCACTGGATGGTCGATAGAGGCCACGGATGCAACCGGTACTTACAGGAGGCCGAACCTAATCCGAGGTCTGGATAAAATCGGTACTGATTTGAGGTCGGTACAATTAGGAGCGAGACTTAGATCCAGGGTTCATCCGGACGCAACCGCAACTGGAAGGGCCTGGCTTTTGCGGCATAGACAAGTCCGTCATCCGTTTGACTTTAGATTTTCTTTAATTGTAATTAATTGCTATCCTAGTCATAAGCTAAATCAAATTACAGTTTAAATATAGTAAAAATATTTAAAAAAATCGTATCATTTCAATATCCATCTTTAAATTTCTTGTTTACCCACTATTTGGCAGTAGTGTAAACGCCTACCCAACAATTTGGAGCTTCCTACCAATTATATTGAATTGCTGCATTTCTCCGAATGTGTTTTTATAGAGAATTTAATATTACTTTTAATACTTACTTGGAATTCTTGTCCAGGGTCTCATTCTAGATCTAAATCCACCCTCAGTTCAAGGCATCATGCTGTTATACTATCTGTCCAGTCATTTTCACACTCCCAGCTCTGGAGACCACGACGGAACCTAAACCTTCAATAAGTGTACACTATGTGTATAGTACAGACACACAAACTAAGAATTATATGCTGGCAAATGTACAAGTGGCCTAGCGAGGTCGATGCAGAAATAGCTTTCCACAGTGGTCTGTCACTACGACGCTTCACATGTTGGCAACATCCAAAGCACAACAATTCCGAAGGAACGGAATGTCATTCATTCTCTGACTACGATTCTACTGCTTCAGGCTTTTTGGCACGATCGAAATGAGAGCGCAAGCCAATCCAGCATTTGTAGTAATCAGGATCCAGCTGGGGAGAGCTCAGAGCCCAAGGAGTGACACGAGGGATAAGAGAGGACTCGAACATAAATGCTAATGCATGATCCGGAATTTTGGATGGCTTTGGGTCCTCGCAGATAGTTCTCTGCAAAAAGGAAATGAGTAGTGTTGAGATACTTATGAGTCGACTACAAATGTTTTTGAACATGACATGGTGGACCTTCTATATTGTACAATACTGTGTAGAAGGTCTTTGGAAACATTTTTCTTTGATTGACCTTTGTTTGAATTAAGGGAAAGGAAATGTGGACAAAAGCCTACCTCATAGGTGACAGTATCTACCCCGTGGGGAGACATGCAGTTGTGAAGACTTGCTCCTCCTGGGAGAAAACCATCAGCCTTTCCCTACAACATCAAACCCTTACGAATCAATTGTGCACGCAGAGTTCATCATTATCCAGAGTGTCCCAAATTTAAATATGAAGCTTATTTTCGCAAACAGGAAATGAACGAATTGTGCATTTCCATATCAAATTCGCATCGAGGGCATACAATGATTCTAGAATCTTCAAAATTGACGACTCTTACCTCATACACGCCGTAAATTAGACCCATAAACTCACTCATGCAGTTGCGGTGAAAGTAGGGCGGTCGAAAAGTATGCTCAGCAACGGACCACCTCGGAGGAAAGACCACAAAATCCACCACCGCTACACCAGGTCTTTCCGACGGTACAGTCAAAACTGCACACAAATTCAATACAGACAAAGATATTTTCATATACGCCCGCAGTGAATGGTGTGAATGGTTTGCGGGTAAAAATGGCGTCATTTTGGCCACCAGAAAGCTAGAAAAGTAAGATGAAATACAGCTTAGTAATCGAAGGAGAAGTTTAAAACATACCTGTATTGATGCATGGGTCCGAGTGATCAAACAATACAGTGTTGTAAGGACAGAAGTTCTTCAGATTGTACTGGGTTTCAAAGAAACGCTTCTATCAACATACGAAATCTACAGTTGATCGGAAAGTCCAGACAAGTTCTGTGGTCTAAAAAGTCTAGACAAGTTCTCTAAATAACCCGATTCTGTAAATGGAGTAAAATGAAAACACTCACAATATCAAGGCTCACCTTATACGGGGCATAATTTCCATGCCAAGCGACGACGTTGAAGGGAGAAAAGTCCTGCTTGGCATCGAAGAGTGCGCCACCAAATTTGTGTATAACAGTGAAACCACCTATCCCCCAGTTTTTCTCCTCAAACCAAGCTTTGGGTGTAAGGAAGTCTCGTGGATCAGCAAGCCCATTTGCGCCTGCACCGTAATACGTCAGCCCAAAGTGGCTTCATAAACTTCTTAACACAAAACAAGAATCTGTAAGCCTGTTCGCACAGTTTCTGAGTGGTTACATTGGATTATTCATGACCCAAATAAAATTAGGCTGCCAAAAACAGTGCCGAACTTGGTTTACCTGAGCATGCATTGCATCATAAAGTAGAAGAGAATACCTATGAGGCCGAGGTCTGGTAATTGAAAATGCCCACTAAAAACTTCGACAACATAACCTCTAGAGGGGCCGTCAGGAAGCTCTACAGCGAAGCGTATACCAAGTTGCACAACCACAATTTCCCCAGGCTTCACCTGTATTCTACCCATCTCAGTCTTGATCCATAGACCTGCCACAAAAAGAGCATCACCATCTTAAAATTACTTCCTCTGCATAGATCTCTGATCTATGTATTCATATCCTCGTTGAATAAATTTAGAGTATAGCTTGAACAAAGACATCACCGAGACATCATAGGAACATCGTATGTTGGATACACTAGCACGTAACTATCGGTTCATTCAATAAAACAAAATTCTGATCCTTTTTCAGTATCAGAAGAAAACTTACGTCCTAGTTGTGGAACAATAAGAAGATCCCCATCTGCGTTGGCAAATGCACAACCCTCCATGGAGGTGTTTGCAGTGTACCTAAAGTCATCGTCACAGTTGGTTTGATTAAGATTAGAGGTAAAATTCGCAACTGAAAACCTTAAAATAAAAAATCAACAAAAAAGAAAAAAGGATGAAGGAAAAATAAGTGTACATGTGGACGGAGTAGCCGTGACGCAGAAACGGGCTACCAGATCCACAAATGGTGTACAGCCCATCAATAAAATTTGTCTCGGCCTCAGGAACATGGGGTGGTTTCCATCTGAGTTGTGTGGGAGTTACGGATGCTGCAGACGTTGAACTAAAATCGCTCACTAACCGTTCGTTTGTCGGCTCACGTGGATGGAATGGTTCATGTGTCACAGACGGCTTTACCCGATACAACCAACTGTCACAACAACCAGAATTTTTCTCAACACAGGCAGACTGGAGGGCAAGACGAAGCGATGCAAAATCTTAAACACCAACACAATCTAAAGAATTACGTGAAGAATCAATATATCTTCAACAAGCACCTTCTCTGATTATGATTCCGCGGAACAGTGAATGCAGTGCCCGATATCTGTTCGGCATAAAGTCCATACGGACACTTGAGAGGGCTATTTTGTCCCACTGGCAACGCCCCCTTCAGAACCTCTGTTGAAAAATGGTTACAGAAACCTCTCTGGTAGTCCAACTCCTCAAAACTGGCGTCACGCTTTGCATTACCAACGTCTCCGTTCACTTTCAATTCCTCCATTAAGCTATTGATATTCTCAATCGCCATGTAGATCCTGAAGTACAACTTCAACTACTAAAACATGCAAAGCATGCCCCTGCGCAACCCGCAACTCCAGATCTCCCCTTGCTCCTTCACAGAATTGATAACAGACACCTACAGCACAATTCCCGATTCAACTCCACTTTTGTCGAAGCACTTTCAACTAAATGGAACTACGTGAGGCAGAATCTCTCCGTTTCCTTATTCGCTCCTCACAAACGATTCTGCTTTCCGAAAAATTTCTGCATGCACGATCGATTCAAGAATATTATATATATATATATAGTTGCTGGGATAGTAACAACAAGCGCAACCACAAATTTCTAGAATGCTAGAATTGGACTTGTTGATAAGAAAAGTCAAGCTACACTCTACGCATACATCTGCCTTCTCTCCCATTGAGAAAACTCTAATTCCCAAAAACTGAACTCCAACGTCTCATACAGCCATCACACACCAACTTCTCCCCAACAACCCATTTCAAATTTTCAAAATTACTCAGAGAGAGCTCCAACAACGATATTGACAACCCAACAAGAGCCCAACCACATCAAGCACCGCTAAAAGCACCCATAAACCGCAATTCCCCAAATCAATTACCTCTCGAAAGCGGCTCAGAATCAAAGAATCGAAACAGCTTGAGGTCAGAGGCTGGAGATTGACGCAGAGCGCTGCACCACCTCCGGATAAACGACAATTCACGAGACCGATTGTAGATCATTTCAGGAGAAGAAATACTGAGGAAAAGCGCAACATCAGCAAGAAAAGTAAGGAACCCAAGTGCGTAAGGGGGGAGAAAAATGGTGGGTAAGACGCGAGAGGAGGGATCGAAGGCCTTGCAGATCGACGCAGCGATGGATCGATCGAAGGGTGCGCTGGAAAAGCGACGCGGTGACTCGCCCACGTGAGGCTGTTGAGGGAGGGGCTTCGCGGGTGGGAGCCCTCAACAGCGGATGCCGCGGGTCCATGTGACCTGCCACGTCACCAAATCCAACGCGACCGGGCCCGGCCCTTCTGTTGATAGAGACTGCTGACACTCTTCCCGCTCTTTATTCTGTCCTTCTTTCCTTCCTTGCAGGCTACTTTAAAGTGGTTTTGCTTGTTGTTCTGCGAGATGAAACCTTAGCTTTTTCATGAGGAGTGAACAACGACATGGTGAGAATTGCATTGGAAATTGGAGTTTTGAGGTATGAAAGAATGGTCACTAACTAAAGAAATTTATGAATAAATATTTATATCTTTTTTATTAAAATTTTTAATGTGTTTATTTTCTATTATCAAAAATATTAAAAAATATTAAAAGTATTAAAAACCTGATTTTATACTTAATCTTTAAAAAATTTCAATTATTAACTATTGGAGTGCCAAGATGCAATATTCTACCTTTTGTCTATAATTTTAATAATGAGTTAATATGATTTTTCTATCTATCACTGATCTTTTAGTAGTTAAAACAAGTTAGTTGCAAAGGTAATATATTGGTTGAGAAATTTGTTAAGTTCATAAATATATTATTTTCTTATATATTTTTTTTTCCAATTTATTTTATATTAGTAAAATATTATTAATTTATTTTAGATTTTTTTATTTAATTTATAATTAATATGGAAGAATGTTAAATAAATCCATACTTTTATTAAATAGATCCACTCTTGATGAAGAATATAATAGTTATGATGAATGTGGTTTGTTTTTGATGATTGTAGATCCAATAGTAGAGAAATAAATCTAGAAGTCATTTCTATTTTCATGATGGTTAGAATGGATAAGTTAATTTAGTAAAAACTTGGTGTTATTGACATACATATTTATATAGACAAGAAATATTAGATGGAAGAAAAATGTAAGTAGAATAGATATTATCTTGTTGTTCTTATTTTGTTTTAGAAGTGAGTGGATTATCCATTTCTACTGTTATATTTTAAAAGTTGCAAACTATCCACCTTTAAACTAATTTTTAGTTTTTTAAACATTGATTGTTTTTCTTAAAAAAAGTGGACTATCCTTCTTTGTAAAAATTTTCATTTATTATTAGAGATTGTAGATTATCCTCCTCTGATTTGATTTGTGAGTTTATTTGAGTCATCTATGGAAGAAGTCAACAATAAGGTTTAGACTCTATGCCAAAAAGCTGTGCAATTGAGAGAAGCAAGTAGATCGAATTCACTATTGAATGGGAGAAGTTTTTTTTTTCTATAAGTATGAAAGAGGCAAGGATAAGTATATTGAAGAAGTTTGATGGAATAAGATCAAAGTTTTGAGAATTTTTACAACAAGTGAAGCTCTTTTTAAGATTGCATTGTTCCTATTATTCTAATGGATTTATTTAAATTAGATTCATAAGAATATTTTAATCCGAAAATTCTCTCTTTTACTTTGCACCTTTAATAGAAAAAGATTCACAACTCTTTTATAATCTAAATTTATTTTCAAAAGTCTTTACAACCATATATAGAAAAAGTGATCAAAAAATAATAGCAAAGATTAAATTCTTATTTTTACAATAAGGATCATGTTCAACCACTATATATGTTGGAAAATTCCAAAATCTTGCTTGAAAAATGGATTGGAATGTAAAAGCCCTTGTCAATGAATTTCGATATAAGTTGAAAGATAATATTAAAGTTTTATTATTAAAAATACCAAGAATAGACTTATTAGAGTAATTTATTGCTCAAGCCATTGTATGTGATAATTGACTTTTTGAAAGATGCTAAGAAAAAAGGTTTGGTTGGAGAGGTACAAGTCAAGTTATGGCAATAAGTTTTTAGTTTGCAAAAGCTTATTTATGAAAATTGGAACCTATACAAATTGATACAATATATTTTAAATCTCTTATTAAATAAAATTAGACTTGACATTGTGAAAAAAGATTATGCTTATATTATGAAGAACCTAAGTACACTATTCAATATTATCCAAAGAAGCAATGTAATGATAGAATGAGAAGCATAGTTGTTAAAAAAGATGATGTATAAAGAAATGAGCTTTTCTAACTATAATATAAATTATGCAACTAGAATCTTAAATAATACCTAATAAAGATCATATTCTTTTCTTAGATTTTTTTACCTTGCTTGATAATAGGAGTTTATTTAAGACCAAACAAATCACAAGGAGTCTTAGCTTCTTCTATAAACAAAAACTTTGTTAAAAAATAAGAAATATCATTAATTAAAAAATAATCCATGTAGATAGAAGTCATAGATGGTTGTTTATTATTCTTTGGAAACATTACCTATGAAATAGTTCCTTTAGATATAAGAACTAAAGATCATAATAGCTTAGTAATTTTTAATATAATTAGATTTTTTTCTAACTCAATTAATTTAGGATTATTGTGGCTAAAAAAATATAATCTTTAAATTGATTAGATTTTTTGTAACCTTTATTTTTTCTATAATTTATTTTAAGATTATTTTAATCAAAAAAAAAATCATAAGTTTAATACATCCAAATCTTTATTGATAGGGGCAAGAACTTTCATACATGCTACAAAAAAAATGTAAGCTATTGCTATATACGCTACACGTATTTTTGATAGAAAAAAATATTACAAGTGGCATTCTAATCTAATATCAAGATTATCAAGATGTTTTTGAAAAAAAATAAAATAAAATAAAAATAAATCATGTATTCTTTTAGAATATCGTTCCTATGATTATTCTATTGATCTTCAAAAAGGAACTCAACCACCATTTTCACCAATCTATAGTCTATGAAAAAATAAGTTGGTTGTATTTAAGGAATGTAATGAAAAGAATTTAGCTAAAAACTTCATATGACATTTTAAATCTCCAACAAGATTTCCTATCTAATTTGTGAAAAAAAAAAAAGATGGATCTCTAGGGATGTATACAAACTATCAAAGATTCAACAAGATCACCATAAAAAATAAGTATCTTTTATCTTTGATTTCAAGACTTTTTGATTAATTGAATCAAATAAAGATCTATACAAAAGTAGATCTATAAAGAGCATACAACTTAACATGTATTAAAGAAAGAGATAAATAGAAAATTATATTTTGAATCAAGTATGGATATTTCAAATAAAATGTCATATCTTTTAGACTTATAAATGCACTAGCTACTTTTAAATATTTAATGAATGATGTCTTTTGTGACTTTTTTGATGACTTTACTATTTGTCAACTAGATGACATTTCAATTTATTCTAAAAATACATATGAGCATAAATTTTATGTTTTTTGTGTATTATAAAAATAAAAAAATAAATGATTATATGCAAAGATAAAAAAATAAAAAAATAAAAAAATGTGTATTTTATACTACTCAAGTTGACTTCCTAAGATACATCATTTCAAACCATGGCCTTATGATAGATCCCAAAAAGATCTAGACTATCATGGATTGGAAGATCTCAAAAATAATTATAAATGTGCAATATTTTTTAAAAAAAATACCAATTATTATCAAATCTTCATAAAAAATAATAAAAATAATAAAAATATAACTTTTCTTACACATTTGACCTATAAAGACAAAATTAAGTGGAACAAAGAAGCTAAAGCATCTTTTGAAGCCTAAAAAATAATATTTATTTTTATATCAATCTTGTATCACGTTGACTTCTCTAAAGCATTTTTCATGGATTTTAATGCATGAGACATTACCATGGATGTTATTTAGTAATAAATGAAAGCAAATAACAAGTTCTATTTGATAGCTTTCTATTTCAAGCAATATTTAGCAGCCAATGCCAGCTATAAGATCCACAAAAAAAACTTCTTGCAATTGTGGATTCATTTTAAGAATAGTGTCATTATCTAAAAGGTGCTTCTAGTCTAGTCACAATGTATATAAATTAAAAGAATTTCAAATATTTTATGTTGGTATATGTTTGAATCATCGCCAAGCTTATTTAAGCATATCTTTATTAAGATTTTCTTTCAAGATCAATTATTGTTTCAAATATATATATATATATATATATATATATATTAGATGTCTTTTCTTATCTTATATCAAAAAAAAAGATACAACTTTTGATGAAAAAAGAACAATTTTCTTAAAGCCAAAGTATTTTCAATTTAAACAATGAAATTAACATTAATTGTTGATTCAACCTTTTTCAGGTAAATTAAATTGACTATGTCTTCTTATCTTCTTATTCATGATATTAAAAATAATTCTTATAAGTTTCATGATACTTCTAAGTTTGGATTTAAGAATAATATATTCTATATCAAAAGACAATTATATATTCCAAAAGACTAAGTACAATTATATATTTTTCAAGTTTGTTAAGACTTTTTAGCAACCAAATATTTTGGATATAATAAGACTTTGGAGCTAATATCCATAGATTTTTGGTTGCTTCAAATGTAGATGGTGGTCAAAGACTTTATACAATCATGTGATGTTTGTTTAAGATCAAAAATTCCTTATCATTAATCTTATGGACATCTTCAATCATTACCTATTTAAAACAACCATGGTCTTATATTTCTATGGATTTTATCATAGATCTTTCAATCTCAAATTTTTATGATTTTATATTTGTGATAGTAGATTGTTTTATTAAGATAGCACATTTTATATTATATACAAAATCTATCACATGTAAAAAAAATAGCTAAGCTTTTCATTGACAATATCTGTTACTATAATAAATTAGCTAAGAATAATATATTGGATAGGAAGATTTAATTTATATCAAGATTTTAAAAGTAAAAATAAAGTTATTTTTAGCTTTTCATCCTCAAATCAATTAACAAAAAAAAATAAGTAAACTAAGTTTTAGAGTAATATCTGATATATACTATTAACTACTAAGAAGATGATTGGACAACTCTTTTGTCAATACTAGAGTTTTCTTATAATAATACAATATA